ATCTATCATTATACCAATCGAGCCTTTCCCCAAGTGTGGAATTGCACTTTTGGTTCCGTTTTATCCAAGTTCGTATTAAGAACGTTTTGCTCATGATTCAAGCTCAATCGATCCTTCGATTGAGTCATTAGCTGCGTGACTTTGATAATATACACCCCTAGGGTCGTTAGCAGACCCAGATGACACGACGCCGCAATTCCCAGCCTCCAGTTGCTACGTGGGACGAGCTAAAAACATTGATGCGGGATCGATTTATCCCTGGTTACTACCAAAGAGAGCTTTTCGACTCTCTTCAATCAATTCGACAGGGAACCAAAACTGTCGACGAGTACTTTAAGGAGCTTGAGATGCTTCTGTTGCGAGCAGATGTCCGAGAAGATCGTGAGTCCACCATTGCCAGGTTCCTTCATGGACTAAATCGGGACATCAGACAGGAACTAGAGCTCAGGCAATTCGTCGAGTTAGAGGAAGCAGTACATTTGGCCATCAAAATCGAGAAGCAGGCCAAGACCAGAAGGTTTTCTAACCGAAGTGCAACAGAGAACTCTTTGGAGATAAGTCCAGCTCCAATTCGGCTAGAAAATCCAAAAGTTGATCCCAAGCAAGTGACTCCAGCATACCAAGGTAAGTTTGAAGGATCCTCTGGTTCCATTCAATGCTTCAAGTGTCATGGCCGCGGACACAAGGTGAGTCAATGTCCAAACGTGAAGACCCTGATAATTCGAGATGGTGAATATGTGTCTGAGGAAGAGAAGAGCTCCGAAGGAGAAGAGGTAAATGTGGAACTTGAAATGGAGACCCCTCCTCCTTCAGGAAACCTCATCGGCGTAAATCGAAGGGCACTCACCATTGAAGCTCATTCGAACTCAGAACAGAGAGAAAAACTCTTTCATTCTCGATGCAGCGTCAAGGGAAACTTGTTGTCCCTCGTCATAGATGGTGGAAGCTGTACAAATGTAGTAAGCTCTGATATTGTTAAGAAACTCGGGTTGAGTACAAGCAAACACCCTGAAACCTATACCTTTACTGGCTAAATGATTACGGAGCCATTAAGGTCAACAAGTAGGCTAGAATTCAGTTCGCGATTGGGAGCTATGAAGATGAAATTTAATTTGATGTCGCGCCAATGCAGGCTGCTCATCTGTTTCTTGGCCGCCCCTGGAAATTTAATCGAGGGGAATGCCATGACGGGGGAACAAACTGCTACAAATGTCGGCATCGTTCTCTTACAGTACTGTGATTACGATGAATTTTTCGTCTCTTTTCGTTCTAGAACCGGTTCCCTTCTTTAGTAATAGTTGCGGTGCTATCACAATGAGCACCGGAGGGATCGGTCTTTCCCATAAGGGAATCTCTAGTAATGACCCTCTCAATCAACTTTTCTCTTTACTAGCCATTGCTAGCTCTATCATTTCTGATTTCTTAGTTCATTGAGCCAGGATTGTTTACTTCTTAGAATTCCAAGACACAATACTTCCAGTGATGTTTAAAACATGTCCACTGGATGCCTTGGAATCTTCTATAGGGTATTCTCGTCCGCATCAATATACCCTACCAATACAGCCAGAAACCGTTGATAATCTATATCAAGGTCTATTGTTCTTAAGGTGTCTCATGACCCCTTTCAATAGCATTTCAATGCTTCATACCAGGACAATCAGTAAGCCTGCCAAGTACCCCCCCCCCCCCCCACTAAATTGGGTCTCATGTTTATCAGCTGCCTCTCGCAGACTGTAAATGCTAGTAAATTCTAACTTTCTTACACCGTCTTAGGTGTTCTTTAAATATTTATACTAGCATCATCAAACATGTATGCAGGTGTACATATTGTATTTTCCTAGTTATTAGGATCTCTAAGCATAACATTTGTTTCAGTCAGATCCTACACATTCAAAATTCTCAACCATCATGGTTTTTTCCAATATTGGCATCACGAGTCTTTGTACCAAAGATCGACGTGTCATTCTCAAATTTGTACTAAATGCACTTGTCATTTTCACTTTTAAAACCATGAGAGAGAATCTGATTATTCATGACACTAATTCTGAGTCTATTTCAAATCATATAATGATTTGTCTAACCATAGACTCCAGAAGCATGTTCTAGAATAACAACCTCTTAGGTTGGTTCATGTAGATTTCTTTATCTAAGTCACCATTCAAAAAAGAAGTTTAACATCCATATGATGGTTGTTATTCTACATATTGGTGAATAGATATCAAAGAAATCTATAATCTTTCCTCTTCACCTAAAGCCTTAGCTACTAGGTGATCATTATACTCATAAACTAAACCATCAGGTTTTAGTTTTTCTTTTAGGAATCAATTTATTACCTTGGCTTCATTGCCAGGAGGTAATTCTCAAAGATGCCAAATCTTGTTTGGTTCCACCGATATATTACCCAAGGCTTGACAACCAAGAGGTAACTCTACAAGATTCTAAGTCTTACCAGACTCCACAAATTCCATTTCGTTAATAGTGGATTCTCCCACAAATCTACATCTGTATGGAAGTTCAAACTTATAGCCGACTTGTAGGATCTCTTATTAGGGTGCAAATAACAAATTCATAACCAAAATCTTTTCGCGATTTATGGTTCGTTTGTCTCTTCTGAGTTCATACCCAGATTCATCACCCCCACTAGTCATTCATTATTTCTAATAGCAGACAAGATATCACCCCACTATTTCACGATTTAAATGGAATGACATTAATGGATTCCACATAACAATGAGTATTTCATTTTATAAGCTTATGTGTTCTATTTTTTATAACACAACGAATAAAACACTCTCATGCTCATCTTATATTGCACTAATTCTCGAACTATACCATATGAAAACACATTTCATAAATATCGCTTTACGTCAAAAGCATATGTCAAAAGCATAACATCTTTAATTAGTGCAATCAATAATAATGTGATGAAAACATTTCACATTATTCCAAATTGTCATCTCATTACATTCACCCATTTCAAAATGAATCAGATACAAGTATTCTGATTCTCTAATCATATACTTATGGATCTTTTAGTTTGCCTATGAAATCATATATTTATCACAAACAATTATGAGAATGTGACTCTATCTTTCAATTCTTCATGATATACGTTAAAAAAGTGCATGCCAGACACAAAAGAATTCAACGGTTAACTTTAAAGTTAAACATATCATCATATGCATACTTTTATGACCATCATTAATAGTGGAGTGAGCAGTGCTCAACAACACTTTCTTAATAGCATATGCCTTAGTATGCGTCGATGTACTAGTATTTAGCCACCATTCTTCAGAGTTACCAGCAAGGTTAATCTCTGATCTTTTTCACAATCATCACAACCATCAATCCTTCTCTTAAGTCAAGCTAACACTAGAAACAATGTTAAATTTGCTACACTTTCGTGTCATATGACCTAAGTCATTCTTGGAGGATTGGCCGAAGATCCTTTGGCTACCACGAATGGTACCATTCTAATTGATGTGGATCTGATTTGGTTTGCTATCATGATTCTTAAACCTTATTAGGGTTCAAGATATACGAATGGTTCTCATAGTACTGACAACTAGTACTTCTTCTAAAATAAATATGGACATACAACCCATTTCACTAGCATATTTACCACACAATATACATACATATATGCTTCAGAGTATGCAATTATATAGTTAAAATTACTATACTTCATGTACACAAAATTGTACTCTAATTATTGAGGAAATCACATCTCAATTTCAATATATTAATTCTAATTTCTCTAGCATTCACAAGATTTAACAATTCCATGCATAAGACTATATTACATAGATTCTATTTAATCATCATTGATGACTCAGAAAAAGAGTTTTCCGTGCTTACCTCTTTTCGAAAGTAATTGCCTCTGACTTTGCAACCGAATAACCAACAAATGATGTCAATTTGGGCATATGGGAGGCCCCAATTCCATGATGGCAAATACTTGCCCTCTAGGTCCACTGGAGCTTCTTTCATCTCTGAAGTAGAGGTCCCATTCCGCTATCCATCAATGAAATCAGTTAGGTCTCTCCACTTTTATCCTCTCCCAGCTTTACTGGTTACGACACTTCCCCCTTGATTTCATGGCCAAGATCAATTTATCTACTCCCACTTTTCTCTGGGAATAGTTAGTGGATATGAGAAATGAATTAATCATACCACAATTCTCCTTCAACGAACACCGCCATTGGCCGAGACAAATCCAGAGAGCTGCAAATTCTTTAGGCCCAATTCGAAGAGCATCGTGGGGGTTCTTGAAGAGAAACATGAGCAACCTAATAGTCCTGAGGTTAAACCTCTGATACCCAGAAGAGGGAGCTCGTTGCAGCTCTTTCTCATCAATATACCCACTTCCACTACAACAAATGTGTCTTTTTGTGACCTTTTTTATGCAACTAATTTTTTTTTGGTAGCCAAAAACTTATTATTTATAACCAATTATTTTTCGGTAATGAAAAGTTTGATGAATTGGTTACTAATTAATAAAAGATTTTTCTATAACCAAATTAAGTTTGATATAACCAAAAAATTTGGTAATGAAATGTTGAAATTCTTTTCATAACCAAAACTATTTGTTAATCATCTTCATACTTTTTAAAGTAACTAATATTTTTGGTCACGTTAAAATTTAAAAATAGTCACCAACTAAAGGAAAATATTTATAACCAAATTAACCTCTATATGACTAAAAATATTGGTAATAAAAGGATTTGCATTTGTCGTCTGTCAGTTCGAATGGGAGTTACCCTTTTCTATATAGAAAAAAAGGAGTTGTGTTTGCCTCCATCCTTTGCTGCAACAACCTGTGTCATTCCTAATCCACATTTCTTTTAAGTCTAGGCCGCCAATAAAAGCGAAATTATTGAAGCAACTCTTTCAAGAAAGGAATACAGACTCGTCGCTCCGATATCCATCATTCTGGTCCGCCGGCTCTTCCAAATCCCTAGCCATCGCCTCTCAATCTCCCAAACTCCTTCGTCCGCGAAATGGCATTCACCACTCACTCTTTCGCCCGCGAGTTCACCGTCGCCGCTCACTTCTTCGCCCGCGAGATCGTCGTCGACCGTTCCAAATCCCTATCTGTCGTAGCTCAATCTTTCAAACTCCTTCGCTCGCGAAATCGCAGTCGATGCAAACTCCGTCTCCAGCGAGATCACCACCGCTACTCGCTCCATTGACCGCGAGATGACCGCCAACTCTTCCAAGTCCGGTTCAGTCTCCACTCGCCACACATTCCTCACCAGGCAAGTTCAAGGACCGCATCAAGAATGGCCGCATCATCTACATGCAACAATGTTCTGAATCGCAGGTGAGGTCTATATCTTAGCGGCTTCGTTGTTTTTTTTAACTCCATTGAAAATGAACTGTTCAATTTTCCTGGTTATTGCTCACTCATGGTGTGATTTTCTTGGTGGTCACGGGAGGAAACAAGGGGATTGGGTTCGAGATTTGCAAGCAGTTGGCTTTTAATGGAGTTTTCGTTGTTTTAACAGCCAGAGATGAAAGCAGAGGCCTCCAAACTGCCTCAGTTTGGTTTTTTTTTTGCCTAATTGCATTTGAAGGGAGTTCCATTTTTGCTAGTAAACCACTCTTCTTTGATTGCCGTTTCGGCCTTTCTATAACCCTAGGAAGCTGAAGTATTTTGTTGTCTGCTTGTAGGCATTTAGCAGCTCTTGTACGAAGTTGTCTCAGACATGGAAAATCCATGAGTAAGTATTCTATTCTGATTGTAGTCTAATTCTGTGTTTGATCATGGTTTCAAAGTAAGAATAAGGAAATTGCAAGTCGAGGTCATAGTTCAACTTGTAGGAATCTGGGTCATGGAAGTTCTACTGGAAAGAAGATTAAGGAAAATAAGCTAGGGGATAACAATTCTTTCTCATGAAGAATGCTTAGACTATGATTACTGAGTAGCAGTTAAACATGATAAAGATACTTTTGCTTCATGAATCTAGAAAAGTCCGGGAATCTTAAATTCAAGCGAGTCCAGCAATTTACATGTTGTTGGCTGTGGCTTCCTTCTTACTTCTTACTTATGTAAAACAGGAGAACTTTGGTATGTGCAGTAGGCGAAAATGCAGACAGTCGAAGTAGATTTGCTGATAGAAGCACCAGGGGAAGCAAGTCCAATAGAAGTATGCCTGACTTTTACTTTTTTTATGCTTCATTTTCATATTTAATATAATCATATCCTCATGTCATTGTTATATTATATACTGATTTGCTGGGCTTGACCTTATTTGACCATTTGCTTTATACCGAAATGAGTTGCTTGAGCATCATTTTATTTGTTCTTTTGAAGAAATATTACGAGGACAAAGGCTATTAGGAACCAGGCACAATGTTGTGCATGTGAACATCCTGAAGGGAAGGAGGTAATGAAGCCATAAGATGCCTCTGCTAGTGCCTTCATGAAATAACAGGGTCACTTAGCAAAGATTTCTAGTCAAATGGTTGATTTTTGAGTGTCAATGCAACCTGTCGAGTCAAAATAATTTACTATTCTGATTAACTTATCTGTGTATTCACTGCTATTCTCACTGTTGTACTGCTGGGTTTCATGGGAAATGGCAAAAAAGGTCCTCTTGTTCAAAATAAGATAGGTTGCGTCATCTCCAATTTTGTCTCCACTCACCATGAGATGCTCGCCAGACAGCTAAACGATCGCGCCAAGAAACGCAGGTGTGTTTCTCGTCTCTTAGTGGCTCAGTCGTTACTCTAAATGTTCTTGGCTATATAACCTACACTGCGAGAATATTTTGGACGATCTCAGCTGCTGATGCAGTGAATTGATTTTTGGAATAATTAGCTATATGTTCTTGTTTAGCAACTAACTAACACATAAGTTGGGCCTCATGTTTACTTGAATCTCTTCTATATTCACTGTTGTGAAAGTAAATTCTGGTGTGGATGCATTTCAATCATTTAAGTTGTAATATCTTACTCTTGGTACTTTGTTTTGTCTCCAGTGAAGTATTTCGTATTGTTGTACTCCTGGTGAAGATCAACTCATGGCCTCAACTGCATCTCCCCAGCAAGAAAGTGATGTTACTACTACACCCAGTAAGTACCTCTCTCTCTCTCTCTCTCTCTCTCTCTCTCTCTCCTTTTACTATTTCTAACTTATGCTTTCTTATGTTTCTTCTTCTGGTCTTAAATGATGGTTTGTTGGGTTTTTGGGAACAACTATTCCTATGTCAAAAACCACAATAAGGTAACATGAATCTTAATCAGTATGCTATGTTTTCCCCTTTTGTTTGACATGAGAAGAGGCACAATTCAACTAACAACGACAACAATACACAAGCCAAGGAGAAACTCTTGACCAAGGAAGCTTCCCAAAGGATGTCTTAAGGTAAGGTTTGATATAGCAGGATATCAATTTTCAAGATTATTGAATCGATTTTGCAAATTCAATTGTTGAATCTATTTCACAATGTTGTAGAAGAAGAAGAAGAAGAAGAAGAAGAAGAAGAAGAAGAAGAAGAAGAAGCATGTTCTGGTTCCACTTCGTTGACCTTGCTCAATTAATGATTTTTGTTGCACTATTTAGGAATAGTCTGGAAACTTCATAATCTGGCTAATGAGAATCGCTTGCACTGGAAACTTCAATCTATTACAGCTACAGTTTATAGAGACTGTTAGAATCAAGATGCATTGAGTAATTCAGAGAAGGATGTGTTTTTTCACCCTCTTTGGTACTTCTTGCAGCTCGATCTGGAAACTTTGGTCAATTTCCAGTTGGTAGGATCCTATGAACCAACTTTGGTCAATTTCATGGCTGTGAAGGCCAATTTCGGAGGTTGAGAAGTCTGACAACCCTTAAGTGAGTCTTTTGGTCCTTAGCATTCTAAGGTTTTGGCTATTCTGCAGAATAGGTAGCACCCGTCTTCTGATGTTAACCAATACGTTTTCTGTCATTTGTCACCTTTGTTCACTAGTCACTGTTCTCAATGAGTGGGGTATGTGATTTGGTCCCCTTTCGATGCAGGTCTGTTGTCAGTGCAATTGAAATTTCAAAGGCAATAGAATAAATGTTTACCCTCTTTGTTTCTTTTCCAAACCAATATAATAATTCAACTGGAAGCTTCCTTGGCATCTTGCTCTAAATCGCCATTTGTATAAGAAGCCCGGAATAGTTGCTAGTTTTATCTGCAATTCTCTTGCTTGGTAACTGAGAGATGAGAATTTATATGCGGTTGGATTTCATGTTTACACATTGGCAGAGATATATGTTCACGTCATGTTGAGGCAAGAAGCTAGAGAAAACAGTTTGGAAGATGCATTCTATTCCTACATCAAAAATCACAATAAGGTAACAGGAATCCTAATCAAGATGCTATATTTTCCCCATCTGTTTGACATGAGAAGAGGCACAACCCAACCAACAATGATGTACACTTTTACTGACATCTTTTCAACAGTGCAGTAGAGGTTTAATACAGAGGAAGATGCAAAAATGTTTGGCAAGTCTGGTTGAGGTAACTGAACGTATAAACTTCAGAAATGGAGTTGACAAAGAATAGTAGTAACTTTTCTGGGGTGCAATTTTGCAGGTCCTGCATAGGGGAGCTGTGGAATAGGAGAACAAGATTACAAGGAGAGGAGGAGGTTGGTACAAGTGTATAGTTTCCTTTTTGAAATTCATATCCTATGCAAATACTGCCTTAGCTAATACTGTGTATGGACTGATCTGTATGCATGCAATACAATGGTTGGGTGGTAATGATACTTGCTTTTGGAACTCACAAGTTTAAAGCTGGAAAAAAGGCTGGTAAAAGTGTAAAGTTATACTTGCTTTGGCTTCTCATTGTTCATAATTAAGGTACTTTGCCGTGATCATCATACTGTTTTGATTTGTTGTTGAGAACCAAGGATCTTGTTTTGTTCACTCAATTTTTACTATATATAGTGCAGGTATTTCAAACAAGGGGCAGAAAAATTTAAAGGAGCTGGGTGATCTCTCAAGCCAAAGTGATTTCTTTGGCAGATTTTAGTTTCTCATTTTTTGTATTTTTGTATTTCTTTAATGAATTAGAACTGCTATGAACTAATGTAAGTTGGTATTTGGTTGGAAGTATAATTTGACCATTATGGGCTAAATTGCTTGCATTACGTTATGCTATTATAACCAAATCAGTAGCTTTTCCAACTAATATATATACAACCAAATTAGCAGTCATATTTAGAACAATTTATAACCAAAAAAATGGTTACATTTAGAACGTATGGTTACCATAAAACATTGGTTGGAAATAATATTTATTACCAATGAAAATAATTATTTTTGAACAAATAGATTGGTTACTTTATGTACTTTTTACAACCAAAATTACTATTCATATTTGGATTATTAGCGAATATAAAAAAATTGGTAAGGATAAGAGTTTCATAACCAAAAATTTTGGTTACTTAATGATAATTACATTAGCTATGAAGAATAGTTTTGTAACCAAATTTTTTGGTTTTAAATAATGGCTTCTGTGACTTAATCATTTGGTTGGTAAATAATATATAAATTGGTTGGTTTTTATGTTATTTGTGACCAATCAGGTATTCTTTCGTGACTATTTTGACAGTTTTTTTTTATCAATTGCCTTTGTTGCAAATAAAAAACAATTGTGACCAATTGGGTCTTTCGTCACAAAAACACGATGTATTGTGACCAAACCCAAAGATTGGTCACCAAATGGTTTTCCTAACGCGGCAAATATGACCAAAGCTTCTACCAAAAAATTTTGGTCACTACATAGGATTTGCGACCAAATTTTGACATTTAGCGACATTTTTACTCGTCACATAAGGCAGTTTCTCTTGTAGTGTTCGATCAACATCCACCATCTCAAAGCTCCGAATCACATCCGGATGGGTCCCCGGAGGGAAACCGGAGTACCCCGATGGAGAAGTGCTCTGCCCCTGGCCATAAGGCTTCGGCTGGTGATCCTGGTGAACTCCATATCCACTAGGCTGCGGCCGAGAGCTTCCATAGGAGCCGTGATCGTCTTCTTGTTGGCGGTAGGATTCCAGCAGGGAAGGCGCCGACGGCGCATAGGACTCGGAAGAGTATAATCGGCCGTAGGACGACATTTGGGAAATTGGGTAAGTTGAGGATTGGTGAATCGATGGCGAGATATGCTTAATGTGGAGTTAGTTTGGTTTGTGGGGCTTTGACGTGTAGTAATTGCTTGGATAGGAAGAGTAGCGTGGAAGGAACGGTCACAGGGTCGGCAGGGTTTTATGGCGATGATCGGGGCACGAGAGATGGCGACAGCCGGAAATCCCCCTGCTAGCTTTTTCTGGGCGAACGACGATAATAATTGATCTGGCCAGTATCGGCATCCTGTTCGGTATACATAGATAGCAAGCGAACGTCTTAAAATTGTTATAAATCAAATAGGAAAAATTAGGTTACCGATCTGGCTGAGTCGTGGACTAGGTCGCTCTCTTTAAGACGTTCGCGGTACTGCCTCGTTATTCGCATAGCAGACTATCAGCCGGTCGCCTCCAGGATAAAACAGCCACTCATTAAATTTGCTCGGCGGTTTTGTGCAAAAATCGGAGCTCTCTGAATCTCACTCTCTCGTGTTTCTGCTCTCTGAGGTGTGTTTAGACTTTAGAGGGTCTGCGGCGTTTCTTATTTATAAGAGCAGAAACCCAGAATATTCCCTCTTTCTTTGGGAATAAGTCACATTTTAATTAGTGAGATAATTACTCCCATAATTAAAATATAATCTACTAAGATAATTAATCCTAATTATCTCCATAATATTCTTTTTATTAATTATCCATCTTATTTATGTATTATGGGATAATACTGTATAATTAATTAAAAATTTAATTTATAACTTATTAAAGCTATTCATCCCAACAACACTCCGTAGTAGCTCGCAAGCTGCAGCCCCAATTATTCCCTCTCAAAGTTCCCTGCGCTGCTGCTTCCGCCCGTGTCCAATTAATTATCCCAAAAGAAAATCCCACTTGCCGGTCCAACTTCAATTTCCTTTTTGTCCCTCTATTCCGTCCCGATCCAAGTCTCCCTTTTGCTAGAGGACAAAGGACTCGGTCCTTTTAATTCATCAAGAATCCCCCCTGTAGCCAACTTCTTCCAGTGATTAGGCTTGAGCCCAATTAATTAAGCTTTCCTCCAGTAGAATCCAAGTCCCAATCTCACAAACGTTCATCTGCTCCTCTTTCTCGTGGGCAAAAAAAATGTCAAGTCGGTTTGGTTATGAGCTTCTTCACCTGCTTGTGCATCCATATTTTCTTATTTCCTTGTCCTGAAACACACCAAAACTCTAACGCAGGATGGTAATGGCTTGTCAACCATTCTCGGGTTAATTTGTCTTAAAATAAGCATTATTATGTCTCAAACATACATGAAATATTCACATTCAGCACACAAAATCAGTATGTTTTCGACAATTATTAAGGATACCGGCTAGATTGCCGATTCTCACCTCCAAATTTTGAAGGCTTGCTTGATGGCTTCGGAGTCCCGTCTCAACCGACGTAAACTTGGTAGTTGCCACATCCATAAATTGCTGGATCTTCTCAAACTTCAGAGCACTCGTGCTCACAAAGGTATTCACAAGGTTTACAAGTTTGCATAGCTTGTCGGGTTGTTGTTGTTGTTGAAACCCTTGTCCACCTTGTACTTGATAAGGTTGTTGGAAGTTCGAGCCTTGAAATTGCGGCCTTTGTTGAATGAAAATTGGCCGAGGTTGATAATTTCCCGTAGGGCCTTGGAAAGCGGGGGATCGCGGATTTGTCGGGGATGACCAAGCAAAGTTAGGATGATTTCTCCACCCGGGGTTATAGGTATCGCTATACGGGTTGTTCCCCCTAGCAGTGGCAACGAAATTGACTTGTTCCTCCGGAGTGCTTGCTTCCTTCATTGCTTGACAATCCTCCAACTCATTGCTCGTGCTTGAACACCAATCGCACGACATCACGATCGCTCTCTTCCCGTGCTTCTTATCCTCGAGAATTACCTTGATCAACTTATCGAGTTTTGCCTCGAGTGGAGCACTCGCTCCCACACTTCTTACTCCTCTTTCATTCCTTCTCTTCCCTCTTCTCGTCAAACCCCAATCATAACCTTTGAGGTCAATATCTTCTAACAATTGGGCCACTTGTGGCGGGTCATATTCATTAGCCTCCCTTGACAAAGAGAATCAATGAGGATCTTGTCTTCATGTATGAGCCCTCCATAGAAAGTTTCAATCCGGAATTGTTCTTCGAACACGTGGTGAGAGCATTGAAGAAAATAATCGGAGAATCTCTCCCAAGCATCCCTCAAGGTTTCATCTTCATCTTGCTCGAAATGGGTGATCTTCTTTCTCCACTCGGCCGTCTTCGGAGGCGGGCAATAGCGGGTCATAAATTTGTTGAGAAGATCATCCCACGAGGTAATTGAACGAGGTGGCCGGTTGTTGAGCCATCTAAGTGCCTTCCCCGCAAGGGAGTAAGGGAAAAGCCTTAGTTGCAAAGCTTCCACCAGCACGCCATTAATCTTCAAACTCTCTGCGAGCTCAAGAAATCATTGCACGTGCTCCCTCGGTGATTCACTTGTGAGCCCATGGAATAAAGCATTATTCTGAATCATTATCACAAGGGCAGACTTAATCTCGAAATTGTTGGCCGCCACGGGAGGGTGTAGGATAGGCGACTGAATGTCCGCCGGCCGTGGGGTCATGTAATACCCCATTGTCCTCGGGGCTTCCTCCTTGGCCGCCTCCTCATTATGGTTGTGAGCTTGGGCGGCGACTCCTTCTCTTTGGTTCTCTGTCATCTCAACTCCAATATCCACTTCTCCTTCAACTCCTTCAACTTCTTCTGCACTAACTCCACTAATAGCGGGACACAATGGTTGTCCCCTCTCTTCACTTCTTCTCCTTGCTTCCGCTAACTCCCTCTCCCGAGCTAGGAGTCGGAGAGTCCGGTTGATGTTCTTGTCAAGTGATACTAAGGGCGCCGGATTGCTCCGGGTCATGCACCTCCCTGCACACACTCAGAGAACAAAACCACGTCTAACACAAGCGAAAAACTCAAACAAACAAAGCTGAAAATTAAAAGCTAGATTAACACCAAACAACTTTTTCAAGATAACGGACCGAAGCTCCCCGGCAACGGCGCCAAAAACTTGACTCGTCCGGAATATCACAATAATTTCCCACCTAAGACCCAAGTATAAACCTTAGATGGGTGCAATATAGGGCAAGTATGTTTAAATATCAACACGGGCCGACCCGTGTACCCCTACTTCCATTGTTTTAACCATTATCTAGAGAATTGGTTTTTGGTTGAAAACTATGAGATTTAAATTAAAACAAAGCAAAGATAAATGGTTTGAAAGCTCTAGATGAGAAGGATCACTCGGGTGTCGCTTCCCCCTAACTACTACCATGGCACGTGGACTCGAATTGGACGATATGGGAAAGGTAACCATGAACCGCTAGGAGGTGAAACTATGGTCGAGAACCATTCTCTCAATTTCCAAACCAAGGGATACATTATAGGCTACAAGAGTAGCCCTCTTGGTTAAGGCAATTAAGGGTTGACTTACCTTCTCCCTCAAACTGATGGTTTGACGACTTAATCATGATTAACCTAGTTGCTTAATTCAAGATAGAGGTTTGTCCTACATTAACCTAGGTAGGTGGCTTGTCAAGCCAAAGGAATCCCAACTCAATTGAGCCTCTTTTAGAAAGGGGGGTTTCCCCTCTAACCTAGGTTAGAATGGCCAATTAGATTGCTAGGCACACACATGCACAATCATCATGAAAAATACCTCAATCATTAATTTAAACAACACCCATAAACAATCAACTACAACTACATGGCAAATAGTTAGGGTTTCACAACACCCAAGTGAAAAAGAGTACTACTCCATGCTAGAAATGGGAATAACACAAGAGGAAGAGATAGACACCATCATGGAGATGCCTCCAATCTCCTCTAAGCTTGTGTTGATCTTCTCTTGGGGAGATTCTTCCCAATTCACCATTTGGAGCAAACCCTAGCCTTCCTTCTTCCTTGGTTCGTCCTTTCTCTCTCTAAAATCCGAAGAAGAAGAAGTCACTTTCTCACACTTGGGCTCCCCCTCTCTCTTCCTTTCAGCTCACATTATATACCAGGATTGGA